ATTGTTTCTATCAAATGTTTAGTACCTGCAATGTGAACTAAGTGCCAGATTGGGGTAGTCTCATTGCCTGAACCAGGGCTGGATCATTAGCGGGATGAAAAGGAAAATGGTTTAAGAAAAACCTGTGTGTGAAATGTAGCAAAACTCTGACAGCTTTCTATGTACAGTATTAATAGAGGGAAATAGGTAGAAATATTTTTGCAGTGTGTATTTAAGAAAATAAAAATGGCATATAGTGGTGCATACGAGAATCTTTTTAATGTCTGTTTTAGTTGTCCTTTAAAGAAGGAAGAAGTTCTTTGTAAGGGAGAAGTTCTTCCCTGTGAGGGTGGTGAGGCACTGGAACAGGTTGCCCAAAGAAGTGGTAAATGCCCCATCCCTGGCAGTGCTCAAGGCCAGGCTGGACTTGGGCAACATGGTCTAGTGTTAAGGAGTCCCTGCCCATGGCAGGGGGTTGGAACTTGCTAATCTTAAGGTCTTTTCCAACCCAAACCGTTCTGTGATTCTATGAGGGGAGTCATTTTCTGAGTAGAATTAAAGGTTTTAAATAGTAGAAACTTTTAAATATGAATTAATAAACCTCACTGTACCATTCTTCAAAAGGCTTGCAGATAGCTAACGACAGGGAGCTTGCAGAGCACCTTGGGGTGGATGTGTGGGATGTGTATGTGTGTGCCTCTGTGTTTTCTAGTCTTCTTTGATAAGGAGCTGTTTCTTTGGAGAAAACCAATTTGCAAACCTTAGTGCTTACAATGTGTAAGAAATCCATTGGTGTTGCTGTGTAAAGGTCCCAGTGAAGCTTACCTAGTACAACTCTTCCCATTCGCAAGATCTCAGCTGGAGAGCGTTTGCAAGCACTCTGCATCGCAAGCATCTTCACCGATGGTATTACCTGTAAAAAGAAATCATTGCAAATAATAAAGAAGCCAGTGTCCTACACCTCTGTGTTTCTCTGTATCTTGACAAATTTATACACCCCCAGAGTGCTAAGCTCATGCAGCATTTCCTAGGTAACTCCTGTCCTAAATGAGGGCCACTGATGCTCGCCATGAACCATGCCCACCACCCCGCAGGTGATGGCTTACCCCATGAGCTCCCTCAACACTGCATCAGTGAGGCACGGTCCCTGCTACCAGTGTCACAGGGTTTGCTCGTCTGACAAGCCAGGAGGAGGCTTCCTGCTGGCCTGTTCCATGGGCCCTTGGTGCTTGTCTTGTTTCCTGTGGTCATTGATGCAGCTGCTTCTTAGGTGAGAGGAAGAGCAGCCTCAGCAAGACACGTGCTAAGAAAGGCTCTGAGGAGCACTTCACCTGGGCGGTGTTTGAAGACACCCATGTTTGACACTAACACCTGGGTTTGCTGTTCTTTGTCGAAACAGAATGAACAGGAAGGCAGTGTGAAATGCTTGTGGCTAGTGGTTGTAACTGAAGGAGCCTGTGTAATCTCACACTCACAGGGCTAGGTGCTGATTTTACGTGCTCACCTCGAGGCACAGACCTGAGTCATTTCCTCCCTAGGTTCAGAAACTAGTTTTGACTCCGAGCAAACTCATCTATTTCGAGCTTCCTCTGAAGAATCTCTGTTCTGTTGTGCCTGCCTTCCCCGCCAGGACCTAGAGCAACAGAATTACAGCACTCTGATGTTGTGCACACAAAGCCGTGCATCTGCATCCTGACTGCTCCCCCTAGACTAAGCCTTACTGTGAGCTGTGCATTCTGAAGAGAGGGGAGAGCTTTAAGGGCAGGAGGAGGGAAACACATCCATTATAAAAGCAAACACAAGTCCTTCATCCCTAAAGGTCACAATTCTTCCAAACAGGGATGAAACAGGCCTGAAAATGTTACGGCCAGCCCTTAAGGACTACTTGGGGTAAGCAACACTTCATTATGCCCAAGGTGTTGAAAGACCTGGAAACATGAACACGTTGAACACAAGAGATGAGGTTAGTGTGCTTAAAACTGAACATACAGACCTCATTGTCTTCACTGGTTTTTGCTGCAAGGATAAGGCAGGAAATTGCAATGCACTGAAGATACTTTAATTGGGCCTGAAGGGAGAAGAAGAAAACACTGACTAAGGAAGGTGACAGCGCTGGGGGAAGTGATTGCCATGCTACAATAGATGCGCAGGTTTCGAACCTTCATTTCAGTTACAGTTGCTTCTGACTTAGCTTAGCTGCAGAAAGCTTCATTGGAAGCCGGAGACAGAGCAAAGGAATCCAAGGTGAAACAAAACAAGTCCTCTTCTTGCTGCAAGTTTTATTCATGTATCTCACTATGCAGTGCCACAGTACTTACAATGCAGTGTTGCTCCTCAGCTGAGATACTAATTAATATACTATTAATCTTGAGTATTGATCTGAATAGAACTGGGAGCTGCAAGGCTCAGCTCAACTCCTAACTTTGCTGTTGTTTCAGTGGCAGGAAAAGTTGGCCTCATTGGTTAAAAACAGTGGTTTCCAAACTAAAACACTGAAAGCGATGATGCAAATGTTTTCTGTTGAGCAGAGGCAGCCAGAGGAGGGTTCTTTGTGCCTCGCCCAGCGTTTGGACTGCAGTTCACACAAACACTCCTACCGAGGACTGCACATCAGTGAAACCTCATTAAACACTCAGTTCATATATAAATATATATGCTTCAAAGCCTGCCCAGCAAAGCCCCTGCCTGCTCCCTAAATCTGCTGCCAAACATAGTGCCTGCTTTGTGTATAAACTGATTACGTGCTCCTTACATCCCCAGTCAGTAACCTAGTGGGGAAAAGGGGACCGGGATTCTCTGCTTTTACTGATGCCAGGAACCCGTTAAAGATGCTGGTAGCCAAGGCAAAGGTTTTGGGGTAGAAGTGGAACTGAGAGCTCATTTCTGCAATCCACAGAACTGCTCTCCTGTGCCGTGCCAGAGATATCTGTGCCCTGAGGGGAAGAAGAAGTCAGCAGGGAAACACAGTTAGGGCTTTGATGATTTTGTTAACAAATCTCCAAAGGAAGGCTCAGCTCATTCCAGGCACTCTAATTACCAGTTCGGATGTCTGCAGGCTTGGAATGGAGAAAGCTGTTGGCTGTGTCTACACAGTGAGGGCAAGGGCAAGGTTTGGAGCAGCTCAGCACACTCGGTGGTGTTGCCCACCCAGTCAGGCTCTACCTGTGCTCACGGGGGCTTGGTGCTGGGCTGTACAGGAGCACTGAATGGGGAAGCACCCAGCCCTCCCCCTGCACAGTGCATGTGAGCCCCAGACTGAGCTCTTGCAGACAAGGTGCTGAGCGTGCTTGTTGTTTCCCCCTCCAGAAGCCTCCTGGAGTCAGGAGCAGGTTTTGATTTAACAGCCCTTCAATTTCCTCCAAGCACAATTAATGACGTGCTGTATTTATGTATTTACCATTGATTTGCTGTCCTTACCTGCCCACCACATCTCCCAAACCTACTTGAGTCAAACCGAAACATAAAGCACCTGGTTTATACAGAGCATTAAAAAGACGTCCAGCAGGGCAAGCACAGACCCTTCTCCCCTCCATTCCTTAAGCTTAGGCCATGGAGGATGACTTTTGCTTTCAGGTGGATGGGATGGCAGGGCCAGCACTGCATCCCTGCGGTCCCTTAGGGACTTCCAAACGGACAGGGAGACACCTTCAGGGTGAGCGGCTCTGGCTCTCTGGAGGTGCAGGGCGCTTCACAGCAGCTCCCTGAGCCAGCTTCCCTGGTGGGAGACGCTGCCAAACCAAGAGAATGAAAAAGCAATGCCCAGTCCTCGTACTCAGAGTGACTTCCTCTCACGGTGCCCTTTCAGCGCTGGGGGCTAGGTCAGGAGCGGCCACAGACGTGTTTGCTGCGCACAGAGCGATCCTGTCCCCCGTTTCCCCCAAGGGGCAGCTCATCATGAAAGCCGTCCCATTGCTACGCGCGGTGCAGCCCAGCTTTCCCCTCCCGCTCTGTCCGAAGTCTTGCTTGAGTAACCCTGGGGCAAGCAGTGCCTGTTGCTGGTTTATCTCGTTCCGCACGCTCAGCTCTCCATTTGCAGAGCTGTTAAACTGCAATTTGTTATCCCCTCAGTGGCAGTTTCTGGCAAGCAGGGGTCTATTGTTTCTGCACAACAGCTCAGAGATGAATGTTCTTAGGAGGTTTATTAATTCCTATTAACAGTTCTCCTTAAAGCAGTTCAATCTTTCTATCAAAGGCATACAACAGCATTGGAAATGGCACTGTCCAGGCTGGGCAGGTGTTTGTATGAAATAACCATCTCCAAATAATACCCTGTAAGAGAGACCATCTCAGCCTGAAAGGGATCTTTTCAGTGCTCATGTTGTGGTGTCTCTGACAGCAGAAAGAAGACATTATAGCTATAAAATGTCTGCTGTTCTCTGTAAGCAGGGATGGATGTGGGCTCCACATCAGTGCTTTCTGGAGGCTATTATCTCCATTATCTCCATTAAAAACCCCGGCGCGGCATGAACCCTCTGGAAACGGCTCTAAAGCTGAAGCTCTGGGATGCGTGTGCTGCCTGGAAGCAGGAACCGAGCGTGACTTTGGCTTGTGCTGCCGCCGGATGTCGCAGCATCCAAACCCGACTTCCCAGGGCATTTGAGCGAAGGGAGAGCCGGAAAGGATTCATCTGCTCAGTTTGGTGCGTTGCAAAGCGCCATTGGAGCCCCGTCAGAGCCACTGGAGCCCCGTCAGAGCCATTGGAGCCCCGTCAGAGCCACTGGAGCCCCGTCAGCCCCACGGGCTCCAGCCGCGGCCGGAACCCCGCTGCCGACACCACCCGTCCCCGCCCCGAGCGCCGCCATGGCGCCGCAGTGCCTCCAGCCCCGCCCCTCGCCCTCCTCCGTTCCCATGGCGACGCCCCGCCCACCCCCGCCGCTCCGCCCCGGTCATTGGCTGCGTTCTGCCACCAATGGCCGCGAGGGGCAGGCCGGGCCCCTCCTTTCCTCGCCAGGCATTGGCTGCGCGGCCTCCGCAGCGCGCGGGGATTGGCTGCGGGCCGCGGCGGCGCGGGGCGGGCGCAGGCGCGGTGCTGTTATTGTCCCGTTGTGCCGCTCGGCGGGTGCCTGCGCCCGGTGCCGCCGCCGCTGTGGTCGCCATGCCGGTGAGCCCCGGGGCTGCGGGAGGGGAGGGGAGGGGAGGGAAGGGGAGGGGAGGGAAGGGAAGGGAAGGGAGCCGCTGTCCGGTGCCGCCCGGTCGCTGCGTTCCTCGGCCCGTGGCTGACGGGAGCCGTGCGGTTCGCAGGCCCCACCGATGCCGTGCGCCGTTCTGTCCGGCTGGGTGGGGCGAGGGGTGCGGGCGGGGCGAGCCCCCGGCTGAGGCAGCGAGGGGCGGCGGCTGGCCCGGCCCCAGCTCCCCGCGGCGGGGCGGGTGAGCCGGGTGGGGAGCGGAGGCTGCGGGGACTGAGCGGTGGCGGGCGGCCCGTCCTGACACCCCCATCCCGGGGGCTCTCCAGCGCGGAGGTGGAGCAGGGGTGCAGCAGGATCCCGCCTCCGCCAGGCTGAGGCAAAGCAGCCCCTGCTTCCAGCGCAGCAACAGAAGCGTTCCTGGCCTCTGCCAGGGCCTGGGAGGAGTCCAGGCAGATGGCAGCTGGTGGGAGAGGCGCTTGGAAACACGGTTTGTTTCCTGTGGGCACCCAAGCTGGCTGCTCTGGAAGGAGTTAGGGACTCAACCACAGCATCTATCACCAGTAGTGTCTTAGACTTTGCTAGATCAGATGGGGTTTGGGTTTATTTAATCGGGAGAATCATAGAATCATAGAATAGTTCGGGTTGGAAAGCACCTTAAGATCATCCAGTTCCAACTCCCCTGCCATGGGCAGGGACACCTCACACTAAACCATCTCACCCAAGGCCTTGCCCAACCTGGCCTTGAACACTGCCAGGGATGGAGCGTTCACAACCTCCCTGGGCAACCCATTCCAGTGCCTCACCACCCTCACAGGAAAGAATTTCCTCCCTATATCCAACCTAAACTTCCCCTGTTTCAGTTTGAACCTGTTACCCCTTGTCCTATCACTACAGTCCCTAATGAAGAGTCCCTCCCCAGCATCCCTAGAGACCCCCTTCAGATACTGGAAGGCTGCTCTGAGGTCTCCATGCAGCCTTCTCTTCAGGCTGAGCAGCCCCAACTTTCTCAGCCCGTTTTCATACGGGAGGTGCTCCAGTCCCCTGATTATGTGACACCCTTACTGTGAGGGTGCTGAGGCGCTGGCACAGGGTGCCCAGAGAAGCTGTGGCTGCCCCATCCCTGGCAGTGCTCAAGGCCCGGTTGGACACAGGGGCTTGGAGCAAGCTGCTCTAGTGGAAGGGGTCCCTGCCCGTGGCAGGGGTTGGAGCTGGAGGAGCTTTAAGGTCCCTTCAACCCAAACAATTCTTGGGTGAAATTACTCAGTGGTGCTTCAAAATTTGTAACTGCTTCATGAAAGCAAAGGTTTGTGCACAGATTCAGCAGGTACACTGAAGCTTGTCACTTAAATGAATTCCCTTCAGGCGATGCTCGCTGGTGCCTGCTCATGCCATCTGTAAGGTTTGGGACTTGTGTGCTCCAGTGAGAGAGCACAGTCAGTGTTAATGTCAGAGAATGGCATGGCTGCGCTTGACTTCCAGCAAACTGCTTGTCCATTGTTTGCAAGCATGAAATTGTTCCTTGAAGAAAATCTTAAGTTATCCTGAATGTGAAATTCTTAAGTTTTACTCAATCATTTTCCGTGTGAGGAAGCAGAAGAAGATTGCACTAAGTGTACATTGTTCTCTCAGCTTTAATTATAAACCAGTTCTGGTTTTAAGTCCCCAGGTTCATGATCCTAAGGAGATGTATGCATCTAATCAGGCACGAACGCTGCTGAATCACACAGGTATGTTAACAGCAGTGTTACAGCCTGTGTATTTCCTTTTCTCTTTTAATAATTACAGATCAACAAGCCTGAGAAGCTGGACAAGCCAGAGAGCTGCGATAATGTCAAGGTCGTGGTTCGGTGCCGGCCTCTTAATGAACGAGAGAAAGCCACAGGCTACAAAATGGCAGTGAATGTGGATGAAATGAGAGGAACTATAACTGTTCATAAAACAGACTCATCCAATGAGCCTCCCAAGACATTTACATTTGACACGGTGTTTGGACCAGAGAGTAAACAGCTGGATGTCTATAATTTAACTGCAAGACCTATAATTGACTTTGTCCTAGAAGGATATAATGGTAAGTCCCTTGTTGTCAAGGATCCTGCCTGCTGTTCTCTGCATTGTTAGAGTGTCTGCTGATCTTCTTTAATGAAGTTTCACCTCCTGAGGGCTATAGCCCTGCGTTGTTTCTGTTGTTGCCTCTAACTTAAAATAGCCTGAAGGTACTTGCTGTTCTGAGTACTCAGCCATTGTGCCTACTATGATCATTTAACAGTGGGAGTTCGATGATGACCAAGACTCAGCTGATGTCAGGTAGCTCTGTGGTTTTATTCTGTGTCTTGTTTGCAAAGGATCTGCACTTTATCTCATTACCAGAATTCTCAGCGGTTCTTCACTGTACAGTTTCAGCCCCCAGGCAGCTGCCAGGGTCCTGCAGTGACTAGGTATGCATACCAGGCTTGTGCATATAACTGCTGCCTCTTCTCCTCTGAACTTTGCTGTTTTAAACTAAGATGACTAGTAAAACACATTTGCTCTACGCACAGGTACTCTTTTGCTTCCTAGTGCTGGGAAGAATATGCGTGTGTGTCCTTATGCATGTAAATGTAGTATGTAAAGGAAAGCAAATGCTAGTTAGGAAGCAAATTACTGCTTTCCATAACAGTATGCTATAAACAACAGCACATTACAAAGTTCTTAAAGGTCTGTGAAGTGCCTAATAAGCTCTTGTGCTAACACACCTGGGTTTCAGCTGATGAAAATTCATGGCTCAAAATTTCATGGTTCAAAGCTGCACCAGGGGAGGTTTACACTAGACATCAGGAAGTATTTCTTTATGAGAGGGTGATTAAACACTGGCACCGGCTTCTTAGAGGTGGTTGATGCCCCAAACCTGTCAGTATTTAAGAGGCTTTTGGACAATGCCCTTAAAAACATGCTTTAACTTCTGGTCAGCTCTGAACTGGTCAAGCAGTTGGACTGGAGCAGTTGTAGGTCTCTTCCAACTGAACTAATCCATGCAGCTTTTCTGAGCTGCAGCATGAGTAGCTTGACAATGAAAACTGGAGTTTTCAGCAGGGCTAGGCTGAACGTAAGATCCAGTGTATTTCTGCAGAGTCTGGGATCTCGGGAAGGTTTCTGTCTGTCTCTCTAGTCCAAATTATAGTAGGTTTAGAACTGGGCTTGAGCTGTGGCCTTTGCTGTAAAAGCCTTGTGCTGTTTCTGCTGTGGCTAAGATGCTAGCAATAGTTGGGTTTGCAGTTGGTATATAATGGTTTTCCTCTAATTGACCATGTTATTAATTGGGCTTGCCTTAATTACTTGTGTGCGAGACCTAAGAGTGCTTGCACTCCATGCTTTAATAACTTTGCAGAGTTAAACCAAGCTGGCTTTTTCTTGGGTGTCTTGCAGGCTCTATAGGCCAGTGTCTCAGCCCTGTTTGTGGTGGTTGCCCAGCACTTGTTTTGTTCCTGGCCTTGTACAGCATCTACTGGAGTTGGTGGAAAACTTCAGCTCTGTAACAACAGAGGTTTTAGTGTTATCAGGCTAAGAAGGAATGGAGTAAAACTGAAGTTAGCAACTTCTTAGAGTTTGTTTGTATATCTTCTTATCCTTCAGGTACTATTTTTGCATATGGGCAGACTGGAACAGGCAAAACCTTCACCATGGAAGGGGTCCGAGCAGTTCCTGAGCTTCGAGGCATCATTCCCAATTCCTTTGCCCATATATTTGGTCACATTGCCAAGGCAGAGGGGGATACAAGGTAAGCAGCTTCTCTTCACTGCTTCAGTCCTGAGTGTCTGTCTATAGCAGGAGCCTGACCTTAACAATGGCAACTGAAATGGTACCTCTGACCCTAACTGAAAGACTGCTGCTGAGGCAGTTCTCAATGGGGAAGTAGGGTTGTGGTTTATATCACTGCATTATCTTTGCGCTCTGTGATTGTGGTTGTTGGACTTCAGCAGCTGTCTCACTAAGAAAGCTGCCCAACTCTTTGTCCTCAGGTTTTTAGTTCGTGTCTCTTACCTGGAAATTTACAATGAAGAAGTGAGGGACCTGCTAGGAAAAGACCAGACGCAGAGATTAGAGGTGAGCTGTAGTTCTGAGCGTGATGTCAGTTTTCAATCGCTGAGCACGATTAGCTTTTAAAAGCCACTGTACCATGGGAAACTGCTGTTGGGGATCTCCAAAGCAGGCTCATTCTAAACTGTTTCTCTCTTAGGTTAAAGAGAGACCTGATGTGGGAGTTTATATCAAAGACCTTTCAGCTTATGTCGTAAACAATGCAGATGATATGGACAGAATCATGACTCTGGGCCACAAGAACCGTACGTAGCCTTGCTGTGGGCAGACGTATAGCTCGGGCAGAATGAAGTCTGGTTATGAGACTACAGTAAGAGAGCCAAGTCCTAATGCTTGAAAGCTTGGTCAGCTGAGCACAGCAAAAAGGACATCTCCCCCCAGAGCTCTTTCATGCAGGGGCAGGTAAAGAAGGCTGTGCCTCTCACATTGGCCAGTGGCAGTGGCAAAGGGGAGGATGCAGCAGGGCAGTCAGTGGTGTCAGGATTGCTAGTGTGCGTCCTGCTCCTTTATCCCCTTCAGTTCTGGTCAGGATGAACTATCATTGTGCTGTCAGTGGGAGGTGGTTTATGTTTTCTGGAAGATTTCTTAATTAGGCTCAGATCCTTCTACGACCTAATTTTGACTACTGTTGCTCTTGGCATGGATTGCTGTGTTCTTATTGCTCAGGGATCAGCTGTGAGTACCTTTAGGCTACTGATCTTCGTAGCCTTAAAGAAACAGATGAGAACTACTGCTGTTCTTGGGAAGGGAGTCTGTGGTGGGTGTAGAGTTACAGCAGGCTGTAACATTTCTGCTAGTCCAGATTGGAGATGTGCCCATGTCGTGGTTTAAACCCAGTCAGGTAACTCGTTCACTCACTTCCCCCCTTTCTTGCCCTCCCCCTGCTCCCGGAGGGACGGAGAGGAGAATCGAAAAGAATGCAACTCCCACGGGTTGAGATAAGAACAGTTTAGTAACTAAGGTATAACACAGATCACTACTGCTACCACCAATGATAATAATGATAAAGGAAATAACAAGGGAAGAGAATACAACATCTCACCACCAGCCGACCGATAACTCGCCCCCCCAGCCCGACCAAGCTCTGACCGATACCTCCTCCAACCCTGCAGTCCCCCAGCCCTTCCGGCTCACTCCCTGTTACATCCTGGGCATGACGTGCTGTGGTATGGAATACCTCTTTGGTCAGTTTGGGTCAGGTGTCCTGTCTCTGCTTCCTCCTGGCTTCCCCTCCTCCCTGGCAGAGCATGAGGCTCACAAAGTCCTTGGCCAAACCAAAACATCGCTTGTTATCAGCTCTGTTCCCGAGCTGAAAGTCAAAACATTGCACTGCACCAGCTACCAAGAAGGGGAAAAATGACTGCTACTGCTGAACCCATGACATTATCCACCCCTTATTCCATACCATTCACGTCATGCTCAGATCCCAAATTTTCAATATACTCTTATCTTAGTGCATAGACCAGTCCCTATAAAGCTGCTGAGTCCATCTGGTCCATGATGTCAGGCTCCATCTCTTGTAACAGTCTTCCAGAGCAGGAGAGACTGTGTGCAGTGTTCACACTCGTGAATAACCTGGGCAATAGTGTCCATTGCTAAGTCCACCCCTCGATCATGAGTCCATCTCTGTGTTGCATCTTTGCTCTGATGGCCTGAAGTGCCATGGGCCCACCAGGCTTAAAATAATTCAGTGTCCCCTTAAGCAGTTTCTGCAGCTTGTTGCTGGGGACTCCATACAGCTGCCTTCCATCTCCGACGCTTCCAAAGCACTGGAGGGGCCCAGTGGACTACATAGTTGCCCATACTGTCCCACACGCCCTGCCACTCATGACTGTCCAGCCTTGGGGAAAATCTCTTGGTCCCCCCATATCCTCGTCTAACCCCAGACAAGACCCAAACCTGACTCTGCTTAACTTTTGAGATCAGACAAAATGGTGGTGGGTAGAACACAGTCTGTGTGTGTGCCAACATGCTGATCCCCATCACAATCAGCAGGCAGGTCCCAAGGACACCCAAAGGCCATTCAAAACCTTCAGAACTCTCACACGATGCTGCTGTACTTGACACTGGGGCTGGTGCAGCTGCTGTGCTTGCCGGCTCTCCCACCGCCAGCTTCTCTTTTCCTGAGTCCAGCTCTTCCTCCTCTGCCTTGCTGGGAAATGCTGCGTGGTCTCCTGCATCCTCCTGGGGCTCGGCGGGCGGCTTCCGGGAAACGCTCTCGGCCGTCGCGGGGCTGGGCTCGGCCGCGGGGCTCGGCTCGGCCGCGGGGCTCGGCTCCTCCGCCGCCTTCTCCCGCTGCTCGGCAGCCGCTTCCTTCCTCTCCTCGACCGCCCCGACCTCCTCCACCGGCAGCCGTCCCCTCGCGGCCTCCGGCCCCGCTCCCGCCGCCGCTTGGTCCCCGGGGCCGCTCTCCCGGGCCGGTTCGGCTGCCGCCGGCTCCCGGGGCCGCTCCCCCTCGGCTCCCCGCAGCCTCACGAAGATGGAGAGTAGGGTGAGGGCCAGGACGGTGAAGAGCAGCCGGACGGCCAGGTACAAGTCCACGGCCACGTCCGTCCCGCCCTGCTGCTGGAGCCCGCCCGTATTACAAGCCATTGCCATAAAGCACAGTGAGACAAGAACCTTAGCCCAAGCCCCATACTTGATAAACACTAACACAGCAAATACCGGCTCTACGTAAGTTACAACATTCTGAAGCTGTGAGATCAACAAGAACAACTCTGAGAGCCAATAAATCAGCATTGTGATGAGTGACTATTAATCTGGTCAGATCTGTCGTTATCTCAACCCTTCGTGCCCCACGTTGGGCGCCAAAAAGAACTGTCGTGGTTTAAACCCAGTCAGGTAACTCGTTCACTCACTTCCCCCCTTTCTTGCCCTCCCCCTGCTCCCGGAGGGACGGAGAGGAGAATCGAAAAGAATGCAACTCCCACGGGTTGAGATAAGAACAGTTTAGTAACTAAGGTATAACACAGATCACTACTGCTACCACCAATGATAATAATGATAAAGGAAATAACAAGGGAAGAGAATACAACATCTCACCACCAGCCGACCGATAACTCGCCCCCCCAGCCCGACCAAGCTCTGACCGATACCTCCTCCAACCCTGCAGTCCCCCAGCCCTTCCGGCTCACTCCCTGTTACATCCTGGGCATGACGTGCTGTGGTATGGAATACCTCTTTGGTCAGTTTGGGTCAGGTGTCCTGTCTCTGCTTCCTCCTGGCTTCCCCTCCTCCCTGGCAGAGCATGAGGCTCACAAAGTCCTTGGCCAAACCAAAACATCGCTTGTTATCAGCTCTGTTCCCGAGCTGAAAGTCAAAACATTGCACTGCACCAGCTACCAAGAAGGGGAAAAATGACTGCTACTGCTGAACCCATGACAGCCCAAGAGTATGGTTTGCTGCTGAGTCTGAGCATCCCTCTTATGAAAAACCAGGGTTGGGTAAAGAGGTGGAGATAAGTCTCCTTTGAGAGCAGGAAGTGTTCCAGGAGCATGTGACTAATTCTGAAGGCGTTGTTGCCTTTTCTCTCTGTTGAAAGGTTCTGTTGGTGCCACAAACATGAACGAGCACAGCTCTCGCTCACACGCCATCTTCACTATCACGATCGAGTGCAGCGAGAAGGGGGTCGATGGTAACATGCACGTGCGCATGGGCAAGCTGCACCTCGTGGACCTCGCCGTGAGTAGGACCGGCTGGGTCTGCCATAATGGGTGGTGGGTATGGCTGCTCGTGTGTGCCTTGCTGAAGGCACAGGAAAGCGTTCACAGCTAGAGCCCAACTTGTTTGATGCTCGACTTCCGTGAAGTATTCATTCGAGGCCTTAAATTAGAAGTGTACCAGGAAGAGTCTCTAACATAGCTAAAGCCTGTCTCAGTAAAAGGGTTCTCTTGCTTCTATAAGTGAATCATTGAATGGGTAAGCCACATTAGAAATTGCTCTGGGCAGCAGAGCTGGGGCTTTGCAAGAGTGGGGGTTTTCTTGTAAGAGGGTTGTGAGCATGCAGTTCATCACTTGTGGGTTCCCTCCCTCTGCCACTCACTTTGAACCAGTGTAATTGTGCTGGTACAATGCATCTTTAGCCCCAGCTTTATACTGGAGTATTTTTCCTTGGAGAAGATGCAGCAAGTGGAGGCTACAGGCATTCAATGTCTACATATTAACCTTATTTACATAGTGTATATTTAGGTTACTCTAGGAAACTCTCCAAAAATAATTGCAGTGTGGCTTTTCTCCCTTGATCTGCTGTTAAAGTCTGGAGGTAGTGCCTGGCAGCTCCACCTGAGGTGCCTCATAACTGCTGCCTTGCTTCTCATAATGTTTCTGTTCATGGAGACAAAATCTGCATTAATTTGAGCAACCCAGGATTTTCTGGCACTGAGGCTTCATTTAAGATCTATTTAACTTGTCTCTTTAACAATGTGTGAGGTGCTTAGCCAGGTCCTCTAATAATGGAGGAGGTGGTTAGTGACATGGCTGCTGGCAGCACTTCGGGTGTAGTTGATCCTATTTGGAGGGAAATGATCTGTTGTAACTCCTGCTTCCTGTTCCCTTTCCAGGGTTCTGAAAGACAGGCAAAAACTGGAGCCACAGGGCAGCGCCTGAAGGAAGCTACCAAGATCAACCTCTCTCTTTCCACACTGGGGAATGTTATCTCTGCACTGGTGGATGGCAAGAGCACCCACGTGCCCTACCGTAACTCCAAACTTACACGGCTCCTTCAGGATTCTCTGGGCGGCAACTCCAAAACCATGATGGTAAGCTGAGAGGTGCAAGTTGTACAGGGATAGCATAGTGACTTTGTCATGAGGACAGTGTGGCATTTACCTCTTGATTTAGAGCTGGGTTCAGCTTAGAGATCATTCTGTGCATCCTTTTCTACTTTTTGCCTCTGTACAGACGAGGTTCAAACCACAGTGCAAATGTGCATGTGTTTGTAAGATCTAATAGAAGCTGCGCTTGGGTAGCCAAAAGCAGCTTTGGTGTAGGAAAGCTTAGGGAAGAGTAGCAGTGTGAGGTTGGCAGGGTTGGGGATAGGTCCCTGAAATTACCTGTTCTGGGCTCTGCCCCTTTGCCCTCTGGTAACTTGGTCTTCCCTGTGTCACAGTGTGCAAACATTGGACCAGCTGACTACAACTATGATGAGACTATCAGCACTCTCAGGTATGCAAACCGAGCCAAGAACATCAAGAACAAAGCCAGGATCAATGAGGATCCTAAGGATGCTCTGCTTCGCCAGTTTCAGAAAGAAATTGAAGAGCTGAAGAGGAAACTGGAGGAAGGTGAGTTTCTCCTTCCTCCTGGTGTATCTCTCCATGGCAATGCTCATTCTGCTCGAGTGTGAACATTCTTTGCTGGTGTAAGATATGTCACAGGAGTTTGGTAGCTGGTGCAGGGCAGTATCCTGGTTCTGTTGGCCCTGCTGGGTTCCTGGAGAAGAAGGGTGTTGCATAGACTTAGCTAGATCAAATGGGTTTCAGGTCTGACACTACCCTCAGTGACAGATGCTGTAGCTGAGCATGTAACTAGCATTTCCAGAGCAGCTATCTTGGGTGCCCCAAAGGCAGTGTTCAGGGCCAGGTTTGATGAGGCTTGGAGCAACCTGCTCTAGTGGAAGGCATCGCTGCCTGTGGCAGGGGTTGGAACTGGATGAGCTTTAAGGTCGCTTCCAACACAAACCAGTCTGGGATTCTGTGATGTTAAATATTGGATTCTATCCAGTTTGGTTTCCAAATTCAGCCTGAAACATCTGAACGTTATGTCTGCAATGGCAACAGTGACAGGCATTTGTGAAACTAGATATTTTTCTCAATTAACAGCCACTGAACTTCATGTATACAAGTGTCTGATTAAGTTGCAGGTCTGTGTGAACTTTGTTCCCCTGGATGTTTTCCCTTCCATCTCGGGTATGGGAAGATCCTGCTAGAAAGACTTCGTAGCTTAACACTTTAGCAGTGCAAATATTATTTATTTCCTATAAAAAACACCCACTTGAGCTTTAACATACACACATTGACTGCTTATCTTGATTTTTTTCCTGAAGTTCCTGAGCTGTGGCAAGCTGTCTGTGTTCAACAGTGAATGACTTCTGCAGGTGATGTTGGACATTGCTGGGTTTGGACAGATGCTGCAGTCACACTGAAAAGCTGAATGAGGTGAAGGAAAGCACATCAAAAAGCACCTTCTTCTGTTCTAGGGGAAGAGATATCTGGTTCTGAGAGCAGTGACTCTGAAGAGGAGGATGAAGATGATGAAGGGGAGATTGGAGAGGATGGGGAGAAGCGGAAGAAACGGCGAGGTAAGGCAGTAGAGATTCCTGTCAGTGCCACCAGCCTCCTCTTGTCTAGGAGCTGGTGCCAGGAACTGTAGCTGGAGCCAGGTGGGGAAAAGTGGAGGTATAAAAGCTGCCGTACTGCCGCTGCAATTATCATGCCTCTCCTAGAAACCAAGCTGTTTGGTACTGTCTCTGTAGGTGGACAGCTCTGGACCTGTATAGAATCTGCTTCCACTTGGGTAGCTGTGCTTGTGGTAACATCTCCTTTGTGGTGGCTCCTTGGTTGCCGCAAGGTGGCTGTGTATGGCTTGTGATTGGTGGTGTGGAACTTCCCCTGCTCATGGAGGTGGGAGGAAGAAGGCACCTAACATCAGTGGTAGGCAGATGTGGTTTTTATAACCAAGGGAATGGTTGGAGGGAAATTTTGGCTGTGGTTTAGGCAAAGGATTCGTCTGTCTTATGGATGTTCAGTAACTGACTCTTCTGGTGTCCTGTTTTATGTTGATAGAGGAAAAACCTGACCTTTGGGTATCTCTGCAAGCTGAAAAGCTGAATGGGAACTGCACATCCCTTGTTTGGGAGCACTTTGGAAATCCTGTGGTGAAGTGGACTTTGTCCTGCATCAGTGCTGAACTACTGTGTAACATCTAAACCCCAGGGGATATTGCTGAACTTAGAACTGCAGGTCACTGTGTCCCATGGGATGCTGTGGCTTCCAGGGAGCTTGCTATGCCCCTAAAACCTTCACAGGGAGTAGAGAAGTCCAGTGCTACACCTCAACTTACAGCTTCTCTAGTAAACTAATTTTGACATTCAAACTGCCTTCCTGTCCTGAAGCACTTGCATCTCTTAAATGATTGCTGTTAAAGCATTCCTGCTTCAGATGCACTGTCTTCGTTTTGGTGTCTGCCCAAGTGGAGTTGTAAATGCCCTTTGCTATTTTGGTGTTAATGCTTTTGGTGATAGTTGTAACAACTTGTACTTCATTTTTCACCTTTTGGTAATTTCTAGAAACAAAAAGATGGAGCACTGTCTCCATCAAGAACCAAACCCTGCCCAAATCTCCTCCCAAGAGGAGAACGCCTTCAAAATCTTGCTTGGATTAGCAGGACAAACAACTGACTTCCAAACAAGCTGCTCTAGTTAAGCTCCCTATGTAAGGGTGCTACTTAGGAGTACACACAGTAGCTGTCCCTGTGTAAGCTGATTCTGCCTTCTAGAGGGGAACATGTACATTGCCATCTACATAAGACTGGAAAGGACTCCTGGTCACAGAATCCTCTGCTGCTGCAGATATCCACAGCCTTCTCCACTGTGATCTGGTTTTCTGTGCTGTTGTTGCCTGAGATGGAAGCTGCCTTGGCATGTTGATTCAAGCTGTAGGCTGGTTAAGATGGGTTTTAACTGAAGTGTCTTTTTGAGCATGCTATTTTGTGCTGGGAAATGGTGGCTTTGCAAGCTGAATCTGGGAGGGATCCTAGCAAATGCTTCCTAATGGGAACTTGTGCCTTTCTGAAATAGGTTGCTGGCCCTTCTGGGTTTCTTTCCTTTAGAACTAACTTCCCATCTGCATGTTTCTTCCTCTCTGGGTCTTTCTGTGGGATGCATTTCTGTTTTCCAGGCAGTAGCAGCAGCAGTAGTTCAGACTCTACATGCTCTGTCATAGAGAAACCTCTGGATAAGTCCTTCACTAGTGAGTGGGAGCTCTTAAGTCCTTTAAGCTTTGGCCTCTTCATAATCCGCACACTCCATTTCGCAATGCTGCGTGCTTCCTGCTGTGTCTGTTGGAAAGATGAACCTGAACCTTCAGCTCTGCTAAAGCATGCCTTTCCTTTGCTGCTTCCATGCTTGAAACAGTTGTTCAGTGTGCACTTTGTTAGCCAGCTATGTGAGAGAATAGGAAGCAATTGGGTGCACTGCTTGAGCAAGATTTAAAGACAATGAAGAAATAATAGGTTAAAAAAAAAACCCCAACAACCCAGTTTGCAACTTGTGTTAAATGATCCTTCTAAAATATCAGGAAAGTCTGAGCTAACTTTATGGGAGCTGCTCCAATATGAGTTCATTAAAAGGACAGCTAGGCAGGTGACATGGGTTGTGCTATGGTATATTGCACTCTGCCTGCTCAAATTTAGTTTTTGAGAAGGCAGATGGAGCTGTGAACAAACAACATAAGGTTTAGGATTATACTTGCAAAGAAAACATCTAATGCTTGGTTGATTGGCTTGGTGGTGGTTGGGGTTTAACTGCCCCATGGCATTAAGTTATTGGTCATTGTGGAACTTAGTTCAGAGGAACAAGGGTCTACATTTTGGTCTAGAAGAAGGCAAGTCGGGTCTGCTTCTGGCCAGAGAGAGGGCTCTGTGCCTTTAGAACCCTTACAGTTAGTGATGGCTGAAGAAATAAATCACGTCTTGGGACTCTGCTTTTAGAGACTTCACCCATTTTTGTGGTTATCCTGAATAGATGCAGTCCCTTCTCCCCACTGTGTGGAGAGTCTGGGAAGTATTGCTGTGTAATTCAATCACACTTACCCTAGTTACATTAGTGGAAAGCATCAGCCCAGAGAAAACATGGTAGCAGGTTAGGAAGGATCACAACCTAAGGGAGACCCTTAGTGGGTCTGCAGTGGTTGGGTTGGAATCTGCTTGCTTCAAACTTGCTCTTTCAAAGCTTGCTTGAAACCTGAGTATTTTAGTTGGGTGAGGACAGTTAATAGCAAACTGCTGCTGTGGCAGTGGATGGATGAGTCCATCTCCTGTGGATTTGGAGAGCTTTGCTGTGGAAGTTGCACTGGGCTTTTGGTGCTTAGGATAAGTGTGGCTATATGTGGTTTGGGATATTAACTGTCCTCCAGTGTGACCCCTTTGCATGTGGTGTCTTTCACTATCCCCTTCCTGTCCTGCCTTTTTTTGCTGTCCTTGCTTGAATAACCAAACCTGCCTATATACCTCTATGGAAGCATCAGTTACTGCAAATTAACCTACTAATACCCTGTGTAATTAAATGGAGAAATCTTGTGCTGAGACTCCCTATGTGCAACTGTCATGTATCTTGCAAAGAATTGGCTTGAAACCTTGGTTAAAACTGTGAAGGTGTCTGCTGAATGCTAATATTTTACAGGTAATATAACAGAATTGGCTGTCTTGAGTGGGAGGGAAAGCATTAAGTCTCTTGTTGAAGAAATCCACCCTCTAATCGTTTCTTAGGGCATGATCTTTGCGGCAGGCTCCTAATGTACACTTAGATTCTGCATTGCATTGAATGGGCAGGAGAATGCAAGAGTGAGCTGAAGATTATCCTGGATATGCAAAGCACTCTGAAGTACAGAAACTTTCTCTGCTTTAGCATAAAATCACGATGCGTTCATGTTGGCTCTAATCGAGTTCTTTAAAGTGATGATTATCCTGTGTTTTCTACTCTAGAAACATGCATAAACAAATGTTGTTTGTTCTGATGCTGATGATCTCTGTCCAAAATGATCAAAGCAGTAATATATTTTCTTTCCTCCTCTTTTTATGGTATGCTGCCTCTCCACGATTTGCTTTCTACTTCCTCTTAATGCAAGATCAAGCAGGTTGGTGTAATGGATTTCCACCTCCTCAGAATACCCTTGTAGAGCTTGGGAAAGTGCCTTACAGCTTGGTTTAGTTCACCTTTTTCTCCTATTCTGGGAACAACTTCTTGAGCATGTTCTGAGCATACATACTGTGTCATGCAAAAACACTCCCTTGACAGTCGATGGCTTCTCTTAGTTTCTAGGCATCTGGATTCTACGGGGTTTTTTTCATGTCTGGAGAAGAACAAAACCAGAAACCAAAGGATTTGCTTGTAGTGACTAAAGGGAGATGTAGGACTTCAGAGAGACCCGTGGATCTGAGGAAATGCGTGTAGGCTGGGTCTTGGTGTTACCCTGGGATTACAGTGAAAGCTGACCAAGGACTTGCAGAGTGACTTCCAAGAGCAGCCTCACACTTTGTTTCTAAATGAGGTGTTTGGGACCAGCCCTTCAGGCCGATGGGCTGGGTGAGCTGCTCTGGCCACTTCCTTTGGAACCCTCCGTGAAATGTACCTGGTTTGCTGTAGTAGTGAAGTAGCAGTAATGTTGTAAAGGCACAGTTGATAAGTCTCAGCAAACCTTCCTGCAGTGGGAATGCCAATTGAAACTTGAGTATGTAACTCTTGATAGCTTGGCTCTTGTAGCTGTAGGTCAAGGCAGCTTTTGTTTTCCTTTATTCACCCTAATGTACCTAGTCAGAACATGAGAGTTTCCAGCTTAGACTTTGGGCAGTGGTCCTTCTCCAAGTGTTCTGTGTTGTCTGTTTTGAGGTCATTATGTTTTAGTTATGCAGCATTCCTTCTCTGTAGGAACTGGTGACAACTGGTCAATGTTAAAATGGGATTTGAAAGACTGAGTTGTGCCTGGCTTGGAGCTGACATCTAATTAAATATGTTAAATGCAAGTATTGAATCTGAACCTGGAAAAATAAAATGCCATGCTATAGAAACTGTCTTATTTGTCTGTGAACTGATTTGTTTTCCCTGTCTCTTTCCAAAGGCAAAAAGAAAGTTTCCCCTGATAAGATGGTAGAGATGCAAGCAAAGATTGAAGAGGAGAGAAAAGCTCTTGAAACTAAGCTTGACATGGAAGAAGAAGAAAGAAATAAAGCCAGAGCTGAGCTGGAGAAGAGAGAAAAAGACTTGCTTAAAGCTCAGTGAGTATCCCTCTCTGAACAGTTTGGGGTTTTCATTCTTTAACTACAACTCGGTTCTGGATATCTGGAAATGCCTGGTGAGGTGCCTTTGTGTAAACTGAACAGCTGAAAAGCCACTGAGATCACAGTGGCCCATGGAAATAGGGTAGTCCTGCTGCCAGAGGCTGCTTCAGCAGCAGCCAGCATTCCTGGTTGGCATCTCAGCTGCCTTGCCTTGATCTCTGTTCATTCACTTCCATTCTGCAGCTGCCTCTGGGCACTGCTATGCGGGCAGGGCCCTTGGGGAGGGGGTGCCTTGGGCATCCAGGCAATGTCACTGTGGACTCCCAGCCCCTCACAGAGGGGCTTTAGCTAGAGAGACTTCTCTGCTGACCCAGTTTGCTTGTGGGAAAGCTGGAGCTCAGGGAACTCCCTGCATTCACTTGCACTGCCTCACTCCCACTTAAACCCTTGACAGCAAGACAAGTTTTTCCAGCCCTGCAAATGCCGTCTGGGCTGTAAAACTGAGCTGGACCTGCTGCCTTGTGAGCACTGTGGGATAGAAAGTTTTACACTTGCCTGTCTCTAGACAAGAGCACCAGTCCCTCTTGGAGAAACTGTCTGCACTGGAGAAGAAAGTGATTGTAGGAGGAGTGGACTTGCTGGCAAAAGCAGAGGAGCAAGAGAAGCTTCTAGAAGAATCAAATATGGAACTGGAAGAACGAAGGAAGAGAGCAGAACAGCTTCGCAAGGAGCTTGAGGAGAAGGAGGTGGGGTTATATGCTGTAGCTGTCTGAAAACAGCAGTGGCAGGACGCAGTGTTGTGCCTTAGCATTGCTCCTGTGCATGAAACATGGCTCTGCTCTGAAAAATGTAGCAGAAGTGAATGGCTTCAGAGGCCACACAATGCCACTGCAATCACTGTGGGGCATAGCCAGGGCTCCAGGCCCTTGGCAAATGCTTTCCTTTGTTCAAGTAGTTTCTCCTCTTGTTCATAGCATTGCAGATAGTTTCTTTGGTTATGTTAATGTATGGATGTCTGTGTTGAATCTTGCACACAGCAAGAACGCTTGGACATCGAGGAGAAGTACACCAGCCTCCAGGAAGAAGCACAGGGGAAAACCAAAAAGCTGAAGAAAGTCTGGACCATGCTTATGGCTGCAAAATCAGAGGTTAGTGTCTGAGGCTCTCAGCCTGGGATCACATGAGGGACTACAGCTGGGAGGGGGGTAAGCCATCAGCTTTGTAACACAAAGATCTAATGAAGTCTGGTGTCAGAGCTTCACAGGGGCATGTTGGAGAGCATTCCCCCAGCCCAGGCTGAAAGGAACAATGTGTGAGATGGATACACACAGAAGGAAAAACACCGGGTGTTTTGTTTGAGCTGCCAGCCAACAGCTTTCCAAATCTCCTGCTTTGCAGCAGCCCAGTGCTCCTCTGCTCTTAGCTGTCTGTCTGTTCTCCCTGTTGCCCTTGTCACCTCTTGCTCAGTCACTGGACGAAAGTGTCCTTTGGCTGGTATCTTGAGCTCCTGTTTCACAAAATTGCATTTTGTCTTAGGGATCAGAGGTTTTCCTTGAAATCTTGCCAGGGATATAACTTGGCTCACACTCTTCATCTGCTCTTAGCTGGTGCAGAGCTTGGGTTGGCAGAGAGTCAGCTTCAGTTTTATGAAGCTGAGAACTTAAAGTTGCTCTCAGCCATCTCTGAGCTGGAACTTTCCAGAGGGTTTATTCTTCAGAGATAAAATATTCTATACTTATAACCAGAGTTTGCTTTTGTTTCCTGAAATTTTCATATAGGCTGAAGACTCTTCTCTTTTAGGCTTTTACCATGTCTTAAGCTAGCTCTGATCCTCTCAAATGCTCTCATCTGGTTTATTTTCAGATGGCAGATCTCCAGCAAGAGCATCAGAGAGAGATTGAAGGATTACTAGAGAATATTCGGCAGCTGAGCAGGGAACTTCGTCTTCAGATGCTTATCATAGACAACTTCATTCCTCAGGACTACCAGGTAAAGGCAGAGAACCAAAGCCTGTGGCATAAGATTGTGCTGTGCATGCCAAGCCCTCCAGCTTTTATTCTGTCCACTGAATGGAATGAGTTGGTTCTTGTCTCTTCATGAGGTGTTCACAGTGCACTGATGGACACTTGTCTGTTAGGTTGTGGCACAGATGACTTGGTGTATGCTGCTGTGAGCTTTCCTTTGCTGTGGCTCAGCTAAGCAACTTGGTGGCATTCATGTGTTGGTGTCATTATCTGGGTTGTTAGAACCAGGTGATGCTGAAGTAAGAAAAGATGCTGCTGACAAGTGACTCTTGTAACCTGGTGGGCTTCCAAGTGAAGTTTATTACTATCCTGATGGCACTGGCTTAATGGGAAGCCCATGCTTTTGTGGGAATTCCAATTTGGGAGTGGTGTTTTTCTCTTCTGTAGGCTTTAAAGTATAAATAGGTGTGTTTGAACAGGATATGTTTGTCTTGATTAAAGGCAACTTCCAATGATCAAAACTGTTGTTAAGCAGCTTGTCCAGGCCTTTAGGGATGTATGTTCTGGAGAATGCATCTGAAGTCTAGAACAATTACTGTTCTATTTCTTCCTAGGAAATGATTGAAAACTATGTTCACTGGAATGAAGACATTGGAGAATGGCAGCTGGTAAGTTTGCTGGCTGTAGAAGCCAGTGTTAGCAGGAGTTTCTAAGGAGTTAAATTGAGCCCAGAAGTAAACTGCTAAAGCTGTAGTCACTTTTACTGTGCACAGCAGGCTCTGCTAACAGACCTTCTTTCTTTCTTTAAGAAATGTGTTGCATATACAGGGAACAACATGAGGAAACAGACTCCTGTCCTGGATAAGAAAGAAAAAGATGTGAGTGACTCTTTCTAAGCATGTGTTAAACTGTGTGTGGCCAAATTCTGCTACCTGTGCCTGTGTATTGATAGAGAAACTGCCCAATTTCTTCTCTTTGGAAGAGAGCAGTCTTCCTAGTGTTAGAAAAGCGCTGTGGATCAGGGCATAAAATGATTCTGATGTTCCTGTTTTGTGGGTGTTTTGCCTTTTTAGCCCTTTGAAGTGGACCTTTCCCATGTTTACTTAGCCTACACTGAAGAAAGCTTGAGGCAATCGCTGATGAAGCTGGAGAGGCCAAGGACTTCAAAAGGAAGATCCAGGCCCAAGACGGGTAGAAGGTGAAGAACTTTGGAGTATCTATATGGGGGATTTACCCAGGGGAAGGCTTAAGTCTGTGCATGCAAACTGACCATAGATCTTCAAACGGTTGCTTAGTGAGAAGACACAATGCTAACATTTTGCGCGGTATAAAGTTTATCTGTGCTGAGTATGACAGAACCAAGCTGAAGTCTCTTTACCACAGCAGGATCTTGTCCAGAAAGACTTGTCTGGGTGTTTTTCTGATGCCCTTTTGCTGTATTCCCCTCTTCTGGCTCCTTGCTTTATTTTACTGTGGTCTGTGGTTCAGTTCGACACCTGACTCATCGACTGATGTTACTGGAAAGTTACGTGCTGTTGGGGGAGATTTCAGCATGGGTTTCCTTGGTTATTTTTGGTTTTGACAAATACTTGGAAGAGTAACGTTGTGTAGTTTTAACTTGAGATGTGGCTGGTCCCTGTCTTTCCTAGACAGCCTCATGATGTGTGTATGGTGCTATTTTTCCCTTTCCTTTCTGCTCTCCAAACAGAAAACGTTCGGCAAAGCCAGGAGCTGTCATTGACTCTCTGCTGCAGTAGGTGTGACCTGTTCAGAATTGCCGTATAAATCAGTGAGTGTGTAAGATTGGGCCAGAATATGGAGTTCAAGAGGTGGCACAGTTTGGCTATAAAATCCATACCTTGCTGGTATGGAGCTTTATTTTAAAGAAATGTATTTTTCCTTAGTTGCCCGTATATTGTATGTTATATTAACATAACATTAAACTGGTATATATGATGGTTGTGAAATTCTATGTGTTAACGTGTTGTGCAGGGAAACTGTTGCTGGCAGTCCTTGTTGAGATGTAGAAAATAAGGGTTCTAGATGCGTGTTTAAGTGCTGTAGATGTGTTAGCTCAAAACAGTTGATGAAATCCTACAGTTAGAGGCAGGTAAATCTGATTTATGCCCTGCTTTGCACATAACTGGCAGCTTTCACTCTTGTCCTCTGTTGCACTGATCTGTGTTTGAATGTGGTTGCTGCAAACCTTTAGGAGCATCAAACCCTTTTATTTAAATGCCCCTCACTGTGGCTATTAACCTGATTGTGTTGTGTATGGAATACACAGTCCTTTTCCCTTCCTTTGCTGTCTTGCTGTACAAAGAAAAAGTAGTTGCATAGGGGAAACATGCACTACAAAAGTCTGAGGCTTCTGGGAAGGGACCATTCTCTGTTTAAGTGCAACAGAAAACAAACGTGTCTAAGTACTGCTTTTATCTTTGTCTGTATGCCCATGATCTGGCGCTGTGGGGAATGGGGGCTCTGATGCAAAGGCAAAAGAGCTCTCTTGGGTTTACTCTCCTGTTAAGGCTGTGTGGCAGCGTTGCTTTGGCTGCTTTTTGTGCTGTTGATCTGGAATTTTTTACATGTATGTGAATTGTTTTGGAATTGCAGCAGCAGAGATTATCTAAGGGGAATGCTGTGACACTAGGACTTGGCTTCAGCCATGGGACTGAGCATGATGGCTCCATTCTCCCATCCCTGGCTCCAAGGGCACTGAGCCAGTGCTCTGCACTGAGGGTGAATTTGACTCTCCTGTATTAAAACGGGCATGAATTACCCAGAACAGTATCATCCCTTGAAGTAGCTGGTGCTGTTTGTGTTCCTGTGTCATCTCTGGTTCCTGGCTATGCTCTGATGAGAGGAAGCAAATCCTGGTCTCTGATAACAACCATTTCTTTGTGGTGGCTGCTCTTTTCTTTGATATTTATGCTGCTAACAGACACGTATCACTTTAATACATTGCTTTTGTGTCACAGAAAAGGCATTCTGAGCTGCAGGCACTGGAACAGCTCCTGTGCCAGGGTGGGGGTGGTCAGCTGTGATTTCTTGTGATCTTCATGTTACCTAGAGATGTAGAGAGCTGTGATCACTAATAGGAGAAATAGAGTCCTCAAGCATGACAGAAAGCACAAGACAGCTCCTTAGGTGTCCTGAGTTCTTACATAGCCACGTTTGCAATTACCAGAGTGTTCTTGTGAAGTACTTAGAGTAGCTAAAAGTCAATAGCCCTTTCTTGTGGTCATGCTGCTTAACTGGATGTACCTTGTGGCTCTGGCAGGTCTATAACAGGATCTGTACTAGTTAAAACTGGTCCTGTAAGGGCACATTTTGCTCTAGAGATGTATTCAGTCCTATTCTAAATGAGTTGTAAGCTCTTCCCTGTTGTGTTTTAGCTGTGTGTTTCAGGACAGTGATGTAGAACTGCCCTGTTTTGGGGGGCAGTGTCACCAACGTTCATACAAGATCTGGCTTTGTTGCCTGAATTCATACAAGTTACACATACAAACCGTGGCATTTGGTTTCTCTAGCCTAACACTGAAAGAGGTAAATACTCACAGGTTTTGTGGATTTCAGCTGTATTTGGCTTTGCTCTTGAAGAGCTGACCTTACTTTGAGAGTGCTTGGATACACTTGGGCTCTCATGTAACACACTTCCCATCAAACAACATCAAACAGCTTTGGTGCTGTTTTGTCTTAGGCTTTGTGTCAGTTCTGACTCCAAGCAGACAGATGCTTGGTTTGGGCCTGTACTAGTTCACAGAACCAGGGCTAATTGTTGTATTCCCCTTGTGTTACATCTGGCTGTGCTAAGCTTTGTTAAGTGATCTGTTTATAGGGGAGTTTCTGCTGAACTGTGCTTTCTAAGGGACCATGAAGAAGTCTTTTACCTGACAGACATCAGTGGCTTAAAGATGCCACTGTGAACCATGGCACTGCAGTTAAAATACTTAGAACTTAACTATAAAGGCCTCTGCTTTACAATTTAATCAAGTTACTGTCCTGCTGCTGAGAACAATAGTATTCCACATAGTTAAGTGAGCCTTGGGCCAGCGAATACATAACTGCTTGCACACCTTTTAATTGGCAGAAACTGGCTATAATCTGTTACAGGGGCTTGGGGAACAGATTATCTGCTCTTACAAGAGGACTTTAGTGGAGCTCTATCATGGTTAGGCTCTGTCAGCTTGGCTCACCTTTAACTGGTGTGACTGTTGCAATTCTGGGCACTCTTTTGGAACCAGGGAGTCTGGTTTGCAGGGTTAGCACATGGGCCCTCTCTAGCCCTGGGCTGTGAATATCTAATGGATCCATGATGGGTTTTAATGCAGAAGGAGTTTGGTTTGTGTGGGGTTCTTTAAGAGCTTCACGCAGCCTTTCTCATCCCAAGGTCAGTACATGCTCTAGAGTATTTACCAAAACCCAGATTACCATAATATATACAGTGTGTGCTCCTCCTTGCATCTTGCTACCAGAAGAGTCCCCTCATTCCAGACCATTGACTTTAACATTGAGAGTTTTGGCGCGTTATGTTGTTTAATGTTGTGGAAATGAATTATTTTGTATTTAACTTGTTCCTGATCCTTTCTTTAAGAGGAGGGGAAGATGGTCCTTAGTGCCTTTCACTGACTACACTGTCTGCACGTGTCCAGCTTTCACCTTCTCAAGGGTTCTGCTTTGCCGGTCCTGTATATAGGATAAAACACTAGTCTGTCTGTATGATTTGTCTTCCTATTTATTGGTTTTCTAACTGTTTATTTCTGGTTATTCTTTGGTTTATGATTAAACTTCATTCATTACACTGTATATATCAGTATTGTGTCCCTGGAGCATGTCCATACCATGAAATAAAACTCTGGATTCCTAGTTGGACCTCTGTGCATGTTTCTCAAATACCTTTACACATACAGCAGCTGTCTATGTCGGAAGATGCATCAGGAAGGGTAACTACTCTGTGTGTCTCTGTGATGCACAGTACTCACTGGAGAAGTTGGGGAAGGGAGTTTGGGTGTGGGGACCCCATTGCCAAGCCCTGTAGCAGTGGACATGGAGCTCTTGTGGAAGAGATGGAAAGGGCAGGACTTAGGGGATGCTTTGCAAGACTCTGGAGATCAGTGGGATGCTCTAAGGAAATGGTGAGCCCCTGTTCAAGCCCATCCTCTCCTGAGGAAGAGGAGAGCCCAGCTGAGCCAGAGCACTGCAGGAGCAGCAGCTTGTCCCCTGGAATATGGGTGCTGCCTGTGTTCTGCCTCTTCCTGCACACCTCCATCAGCTGTACCACCTATGCCATGCAGAGATGCTTTTCACACTGTTCTGCCTCAAAGTGTCTCTGTCCTGCACCCTAAGCCTGTCGCCCTGGATTCCTGCGGATGCTCTGAATTCACCTGCAGCCACTGGAAATGTTCAGCTCGCTTCCTCTGGAAGGCTTCCAGCCTGCTCATGCACTAGGTAATAAGTTGGTTGTGCTCTGGTAATGCTGCAGCTCCCCTGACTAGTGACTTGGCCCAAAACAAACCCTGCACTGTCCTGGGGCTTTCCCAAGTGCCACAGTAGGTTACAAAGCAGTGGACTTCATGGCTTTAAACCCCCTTATTTGGGAAGTCCCAGTTCCATCTAGTGTGCTGGAGCCAGCACTGCCCCTCCTGGCCCTTGTTGCCCCTTGCCAACATCATGGATAGAAAATACCCGTTCTTTCTTCCTTGCTCTGCCATTCTTCTCTGTCCTAGCTGTAGCCTCTCCTTGTGTCCCTCAGCAATCTCTGCTGGGATTGATATCACCAGGAGCAGGGGTGGGTCTCCATGCTGTGCCTGGCACCTTCAAGCTCTCCAGCACGCTGCTGCGCTGGGCAGTTTCTAGCCAAGAAGCATCTTGCACAATGCCAGCGAGTTTAGTGCAAAAATACATTTATTTAAAGAAGTTATTATAAATAATCTCTGACAAATACAGCATTATAGTTACGGACACAAACCAAAGGGCTGTTCACTTCAAGCTCTGCCCTTTTACCAGTCGGTGGAGGGCTCTGCGCAAGTCCAGGAGGAAATCACCCAGGGAGGTAGTGCTGCCTCCTGGCACGGGGCACGGGGCCTGGGAGAGAGCAGAACGGTCATTAGGGTGTTTGCTAGGGGGGGATCTGCTTCTGCAGCGTGGTCCTGGGGGTGAAGGGGTGAAAGCAGAAGCGGTGACTGAGGGAGAGGCGGATGCCGTGAGCAGGGAGGGGAGGCCCTTGTGTACCTTGTAGACTCTGCTCTTCCTTCGGAGCAGGCTGAGCAGGTTGAGGTGGATGCCCTCCAGGTGCCTGTGGCAGCTCCGGCCCTCCCAGGTAACTGTGGTGGCTTTGCATAAGGTCTCCAGGTCGTTGTCTTGCTGGAAAGAGATGCGAGTGGTTTTTGAGACACCCTTGTGTGCAGTCATGGCTTCATCCACAGCAGGTTAAACCAGAGCAAGTAAGAACCCCAGCCTGGTTTGGGTTGAAGGGACCTTAAAGCTCATCCAGTTCCAACCCCTGCCGCAGGCAGGGACAATAACACGTTTCTGTCCCTAAGGGCAGGTACAAGGTACAGCAGGAGATGTCAGAGCCCCCCTGAAGCTCCCCAGTCTGCTGCTGTCCTGATGGTGACAAGTCCTGGCAGAGCTCGGCACAGTGGTGAGCACCCTCATGCTTAGAGCATCGTGCTCCTGTTGCGGGACATGGTGCTCAGGGAGCTGTTCCCTGTGGGTTCCATGGGAATGGAGCTGATTTGATGGGGCAGAGGCTCTATGGGAATAACAAAAGCCCCTGGGAAGAGGGGACATTGCCTCCAGCAGGTGCTTTGAGGGGGTAAAGCCCCACAGCAGAGACACATGGAAGATGAGGAGCTGGTAAATGAAACACTGGTGATAAGGAAACTATTCAGCTGTCTTCCCTGGGGGATGTCCCCAGCACAGAGTTCACTGAGCCCTGCCTGCTCAGATCTCCTCGGCTTTAAACCAAGCGACACCACCAAGTAAGTGACCACCTTGTCCCCATGAGCACAGGTCTGCACGTGCTGGGTTATCCTGAGCACCTCTCCTTGCTCCCAGGACCCTTCCCTATGGCAGGAGGGTGCAGGGACCCTGAGGGGATGCTCAGCCCCCCCCCAGGGAGGCTGCTGCAGCCCTGGGCTGGTGCCTGTTGGTGCAGCTCAGTGCGAGGGCATTGGCTTTCTGTGAAAACAGGAACTCTGGGGCTGGGGAGCTCAGCTTAGGCAGCATTTTCAGAGCAGAACTAGGCTTCACTATCTGCTATTAAATCTGCTAAGTGAGGAGCCTTCCCCAGATAAGGGCTAAAGAGGGATAGTGTGTGTAACCAGCGTGTGCGATAGGCGCGTGTGGGTGCCTCTGAGGTGGTGGCACACTGCTCCAAGGCAAGGGAAGAAGTTCCTCTCCTCCCTTCTGAAAAGCTTGAGAACCCCTGCGTGCTGCTCAGACCCGTGCTGCCCATTCCTGCCCGTCCCTCCGGCCTCCCCTGTGCCTCCGGGGTGGCCAGGAGCAGCCGCTGCTGCTCCGGATGGAGATGGAGGTGGATGAGGGCACCAGTGATGCACTGCTGGACCCCTTACTCCCATGCGGTGCTGCAGGACTCCCAGGGCTTCACACCTCCCTCCTGGCCACCCCGTGCTCTCCTCTGCCCCAGCATCCTCTCCTGGTGCCCATCGCAGCCGTATGATTGTTGTCAAACAAGGACAAGTTCCACTTTTCCTCTCTTACCTTATCGCCTGCAAAAACATTCGTCACGTTCATCTTGTCACAGGGGACCTTTATGGAGACAGAAAAGAGAGGAGTGATCAGGCCAGAGAAGGGGCTAACATGGATCCATCCTGATGCGAGCAGGCACCCGTCTGTCCATCCATCCATGCATCCATCCATCCATCCATGCCCCCAGTGCGCTGTGAACAGCTTGCTCTGAGCCTGCCTTTGCCTCAGCATCGCTCTCATCCAGCCCAATGCAACAACTCATCCCTAAAGCTGATCCATGAGGACGAGCCCTACCTTTGCTTCCAGGAGCTCATCCAGCAGCCTGATGCTCTCCTTCAGGAAGATGGAGGTGTGCAGCAGAGTGGCCGTGTGGCAGCCTGACCGCACCAGCAAGGTGAGCAGCAGGGGCACCAGGATGCTCATGGCCTGTGTGCACTGAACCCTGTGCTGCAGGTTCTGGATATTTTGGTGCTCGACACCTGGGTGTGCTTTTCTGGAAGAACCATCTCAATTTATGGCTGTGAAATTGCTGAACCTGTAGGAAAAATCTCATTTTTCTCTGACCTGCACTTTCCAAGGCTGCTCCCATCCAATTAGGACAACAGGTCTTTGGTGTAAAAGTCAAGCTTTTCTTCTGATCTTGCATTACGTTTCAACGTAGGAAATTTCCACCCTAAGATAACGCTGGTAGGAGTCAGGTCACGTACGAGACAAGTGTGTAAACTCTCGGGTTTGGGGATTCTTCATTTCTAGGTATCCCAACACTTTCTCTACGCCCCAAGGTGAAAGCAGCTGAACCGAATCTGACCACGCTCCGATAGCGGAGCTTTGCCTTTCCTTCCTCTCTATCCATCCTGTGAGCTCTTCCACCTTGTGTTTCATTTGAATATCTCCAGATCATGCAAAGCATCCTTCATCTGCGTGTGATTTTCTGACTCTGCTTATCTTACCTTGTGCTGGGGAGAAACAGAAAGCGCAGCAGAGGCTGCAGGGCCCCGGGGCACAAACATCTCCTGGGTAGGAGCAGGGCATTGCTGGGGCTGGGCGTTATAGAGGGCTGGGGGCCCTCCTGGCCAAATGGGACCCCAAAACAGCGTGACGGTATGTGGGACAATGTGGTGATGGGCAGGGAGCTGGTGCAGTGTGGTCCTGTGGCATTGATGCTGGTGCTCACGTGGGAAAATGGGGTTTGTGTCTCTGCTCCAGCACCCGGCGTCTCTGTGAGCAGCAGCATCACTCCATGGCCTGAACCTCACTCCCCATCATCCCGTCCTGCCCCGCTTGGGAGCGAGGTTCAGGCCATGGGCTCTGCTCCACCGCCAGCCAGCACCACTGCAGGAAATCACGCTGAGACACGAGCTGAGCTGGGAAACTTTGGAGTTTTGTAATAACTAATAGGTATTTTTGTAACTCAAATAGCAACTTGCCATCAGATGCTTGATAAGAGCCTGCGAGTGCTCGATTGATCCGGGAGCAGCCAGACTGAGAGTGATTGTGTTTGTCTAACTCTGAAATGCCCCTGATGGAGTTGGTGCCACTGACTCAGAAAGACCTTTGTGAGGGATTTGCCGGTGGAGGGCTGACGTTTCCTACCTGCACCATCTCGAGGGGCAGCAGATAAGCACCGGAGGTGGTGGCCTCAGTGGATGGTGGCCATGGGGCCGGGCTTGCTGCTGGGATGCTCAGAGCAGCCCCACTGCACTGGGACGGGTGGTGGTGGGAGGCTCCCTGGTGGATGCTGGAAGAGGGGATGGATGCGTGGTCCCATCCCGCAGGCACAGTGACTTCCCCAGTGATCGTGGTGTAAAGCTCAAAAACTGGAGTAAATGAACAGAAAAATGCTAAATTAACAGGAAAAAAGTAACCTTTGAGCTACTCGGGCTGAATCATGGTGGAAAACCGCATCACTGGTGATGGGAAAGCCACCAGTTGTGTTGGGTTTGTGTGGCAAGGGTTTGGTGGCAGAGGGGCTGCAGGGGTGGCTTCTGTGAGAACCTGCTTGAAGTGTCCCCATGTCTAATGGAGCTACAGCCAGCAGCTCTAAGCTGGACCCACAGCTGAGCCCATCAGTGATGGTGGCAGCACCTCTGCGGTAACAGTAAGAAAGGGGGGGAAACCCTGTGGAGCAGCAGCCAAAGGGAGGACTGAGAATATGTGAGAGCAAGAGCCCCACAGACCTCAGGGTCAGTGCAGAAGGAGGGGAGGAGGGAGGGTGGGGGGAAGATTTGGGTTTATTTCTCATTACCCTGCAGTGATTTGATGGCAACAAACTGATACCCCCGTGTCACGTTTCCCTTGGGACGGTAACTGCTGAGTGATCTCTCCCTGCCCTTATCTTGTACCCGCCAGCCTTTTGCTGTGCTTTCTCTCCCCTGCCCAGTTGAAGGGGGCAGTGATGGAGCAGCCTTCTCTTCCCGCATCCTTTCCCGAGGGTGGGATGCAGCTGACGCTGCAATGGCTCCATTGCTGGCAGGGGCGATGGCCCCAGCTCCATGTGGTCCCCGTCTCTGCCCATGTGGGATGGGAGGATGTTTCTATAGCCCTGGCTTTGCATTCCTCCCAGCAGTCCTTCATGGATGAAACTGCTGCCATTTCCCTTGCCAAAGGAAGGTACTAGTTGCAGAAATGTGCTCTCTGTTTTCCTCCTCCCCTTTGTGCTCTGTGGACTGAAGCATCTCCCATCACAGAGGATCCTGCCCGTGTCCCCGCAGCCACCAACCCTGGGCTCCACTGAAAGCTGCCACCACCAGCTCAACGTTCCGTGTCCAGAGCTGGAGCATCCCAGGGCAGGCACTGTGAGAGAGCATCACTTGTGCCCAGGTAAGTTTGGGTTGCAGGGGCAGGGATGTGCCGCTGGTTTCGTACCTTTCTCTTGCCCACCACGCCTGGTGCTGGTGCTGATAGGGCTCAGGGGCATCCAGAGCAAATCCAAAGGCTGTGATTAACACTCCATCATGTGTGTTTGTTGTGGTTTCCTGCATTTACAATGCTTTCCAGCAGTTCTTTTGCCCCCGTACCTGCTGCAGCTCATCCCCTCTCCTCCAGCCCTTCCTCTCTCCCTGTGTTTTCCTACCCCACAGAACAGTTGGGTTCATTGGTGCCTTTTGCCTTCTTGAAAACTTGTTTTCAGTGGCAAACAGGGGAGATTTGCTGTTTATCACCCCAAAACCTGGATGGGGCTTGGAGCAAGCTGCTCTAGTGGAAGGTGCCCTTCCCAATGGCAGGGGTTGGAACTGGATGAGCTTTAAGGTCCCTTCAACCCAAGCCCGCCTGCAATTCTGTGATCCTATGGAGAATGCCAGCCTTTCCCACCCCATGGCAACCGAACAAGGAGGCAGCAACCCACGGTGCTCTCCATTAACTGCTGAAGGTGAGAAGAGGGGAATGAACAGCATAAAGCAAGAGCTCGTTTGTCAGTAGTTTATTGCTTAAGCCCTGAGACATTTTAATAACATCAGTGCAAGGTTGAAATGAAGCATCCAAATACGTGCAATTTGAATATATTAACTCTGTCATAATACAAATACTTTAAATAGAGGGAAGAACAATAAATTACGAATCCCTTGTCGTGGAAAGGCAATCGGGCAGTAAGAGTTCCCTAAGGATGAGGTAGCAGTATTTCAAATACAACTCTTCCACAGACCTGCTTTTGTATAACTTAAACGACCTGAAGAGTGGCTTTCCCTTTACGTTGTGGGTCCCAAGTGAAGAACAGCTTTCACCAGCCAGGACTTTTCTGGCCTTTAATCTTCAGATTATGCAGTATAAAAATAAGTTATTTAAATAAAATATAACAATAAATAAACCCCACAAGTGTGATGCCGATAAGCACCCGGCAGGTCCAGAGCTGTCCCACAGCCTCTCCCAGCCTTTACTTGTAATAACTTAAACTCTATGATCCTAAATGCCCACCCGCGATGGAGAGGACCCATTCAAGGTTGAGTGCAGAGCCCTGGAAGCCCCCTCCCTCTGCTGATCTCTCCTGGCTCCTGCTCTCGGATGCTGCCCTTCCCCAGCTCTGCTCCCATGAGGAGCCATGCCCCTGTGTGCTGTAGCAACTTGTTAGTGACAAAACGCATCACTTCAGCCATAGATTTCGATCTCTTTAGGAAGAGATGGTGATTGCGAAGAACCTCTCTTCATTGGGAGGAACAGGAAGCAGATAACTTGGTTTTGGTTTTGGTAGCTGCTGCAGGAACGAATTAGAAGCTCAGCCTCCTCTGATGGCCCATCCAGGCATGATGCTCAGATCCCCCCCGGCTGGGCAAAGCCTTCCTGGGGGAATCTTATCACTCCCAGGGAATGGGAGCCCTCCTGAGGGGTCTCATCCCTCCGGGTGCCAGCTGGAAGAGCCGCAGGGCTGCGAAGGGAGCACCAAGGGCAGCCTTACCCAGACAAGACCTCTGGTGCAGAGCTTCAGTAAGGTCTGACACACAGGACTGGGTGGGAAGCCTGGGAGATGCCCAGCGCCTGCCAGGAAGGGAACACTTCCCACCAGAGCGGTGTGATCCCGGCTCCCTGGCGTTCCCACTGGGACCTGCTGTTAGGATTGCATTGGGTTTAGGAGGGCTGGGGCAAGAGCTGAGGAAGTGCATGCAGCGAGGAGCAAGAAAACCTCTGCAAACCCTATTTCAGAGCTGCCAGCAGCGCGGTCCCTGGGCTGGGGGCTGGCAGCGGTGCTTGGGTATCATGGTGTAGCCAGCGTGGCCAGGTGCCTGTACATCCCCTGGGTGAAGTTGCCCAGCTCCGGTAAGAAGTTGCGCAGGTAGATCTCGTTTTCATCGCTCAGGGAGCAGCTCTGGGGAGGGAAAAGAGTCACTGCAGAGCTGCCAGCAGGATGTGGCAGCTTAGCCAGGCTACCGGCCCATGCCCATGGTTGGTTGCCAGTGCCTCTGCCTCCATATGAACAACGCAACGAGTAACACAGAAGTGTAGACACAGAACCCCAGCCTGGTTTGGGTTGAAGGGACCTTAAAGCTCCTCCAGCTCCAGCCCCTGCCACGGGCAGGGACCCCTTCCACTGGAGCAGCTTGCTCCAAGCCCCTGTGTCCAACCTGGCCTTCAGCACTGCCAGGGATGGGGCAGCCACAGCTTCTCTGGGCACCCTGTGCCAGTGCCTCAGCACCCTCACAGGGAAGAGCTTCTTCTTTGTATCTAACCTAAATCTCCCGTTTCAGTTTGAACCCATCACCCCTTGTTCTATCACTACAGTCTCTGATGAAGAGCCCCCCTCCAGCATCCTTGTAGGACCCTTCAGATACTGGAAGCTGCTCTGAGATACTAGGAGGTGCTGCCCCAGGAGGTTGGGAATTTGTCCTTCACTCAGGACAGGTTCCTGGCCCCTGTGCTCAGCATTTGACCCCCATGGTCACTGGTGTGAGGATGGCCGGGGCTGGTGGGGACATTCACCCTCTTCCCATGGA